CAATTAATTGTGTTTTCTGGTTCATTTAAGAATGCTCCAAATCCATATCCTTAAATCAGACTTTTTATGTCATAAATTCTTCTAAATGGCTTTTAGAGAATTTTTATAATTTAAAACTTAGTGTTAATTATAATTTGTGGGGTTATACAAAAATTTTTCGGTTTTATATGAATATAACAACTCTTTAATTCTGTCAACTATTTAAATCAGTATGTATTCACACTGTTAATTTTCAGAACTTCTCAAACATTTACTTAGTGACTGAGTTAGAACTTTAATGAATAACCAGTGAAACCTTATAAACCATCTCCTTTTACCTTATTCTTTGGCATGAAATTGAAGAGAAATTCTCCTTCTCTCTTTCTTTTTCTTTCTTTCTTCCTTTCTTTCTTTCTTTTTCCTTTTCTTTTTCTTAAATTTTACACCAAAAGAATGCCAAGTAAAAAGTGAAAGCTGGATGAGATCTTTTAAACTTGCACTGAAACAGTAAAGAATAGGTTATAATAACCAATTTTATGAGACTAGATTTCAGCCTTTACTTGTTAGAAATAAGTGACCATTGAAGACCAAAGCATTAAGATAGCAATGGATAAAGAAGAAGGCAGAATCGTGTGATTTTAGTCAGGGCTCTTCAGGAGGGACATGCAGTTTGTGCCTTGCTCAAAGGCAGAATGAGAGGGGCTAAAATCCAGCCCACTGTCTGCTATTCAAGCTGTGACCCTTTTCATCCTTGAAAAAGGGGTGCTTTTCTTTTCCTTATCTGCTGGCGCAGACGGAACACTTTTTATATAGTACAAAGCACCCTCCAGGCTAATAGAACCTTGGCTCAGGGCCTGATGGTCACTTTTTGATAATTAGACATCATTAGTCTTCATGTCTATGACTACAGTATTTCATAGCAGTAGAAAAATCAGAGAGAAAAATACTAATAAATTCTCTAATTCCCAAGCAAAATAGTAAAAATTATAAGTCTTAAGACACTGAAGTAAACTTGCATAATATGAAATGGAGTAATATTAGTCATGTTCAGTTTGCATTTATCCTACAGATATGCCATGGTAGTAGAACATGATGCTAAATTGTAACAAGTATATTTTGGCTCATTTGAGCCAAAATAAATAAATAAAATCACTTTCTCAGTCTTGTTCGATGAAATCAGGTCACTTCTATTATTAAAGCACATTTTAATTTTGTATAACCAGACAGTAAAATACAAACTCTAAAACTCTTTTAGACCTATTTGGATATTTTTATCTGACCATAATGCTAGTAAGAGGATTCACTTTCCAGCATCCATGGCCACTTCAGATGTTTAAGAATTTCTCTTGGAGGTTATACATACTGATAAATATTGGCATTTTAAGGGATATCTTGTAATGAGGGTATTTTTTTCTGTTGGTGTAAGAGACAACCAAATTTTAGCAAATTCATATTTTAGTAAACCTAAGTTAAATAATACATACAGGATTTGCATCTGTTGACCAATAGTGAGCATTTTTGACTGAAAGAAGATAGAGCTTTTTGTAATCCCTGCCTCTGGCCCCGTAATAAGGAGAGTGTTTTTCTCTTCATAATAAATTCATCTCTCAGCACAAACAAGTGAATATGTATGTTGTATTTCTGTGTGTCTTAGAAGTGGGAAACAGATCATTACTTATTATAAATGTTTGAAGTGAAATTTCTAACTTTTTGAGAAATACAGAATTACTGCTAGGGTTTTATTAGAATTAAGAAACCTAATAGAAATTAATTACCAACGTGCATTTGAAGGCTCATCATTATTATGCAGTAATATGACTTTAATAGTTTTCATGGGGAATATTAGCCATAGTATAAGCAATTTTGGCGACCTATATTACCATTTACTTGCTAATTAAATCTGAGAGGCATATCTATGGGCTGTTTAGGAAACATGCCTTGTTACACACACACACACACACACACACACGCACAGAAAGATTTATAGAAGCTTTGAAATTCATATTTCTGTAATGAAAATTATAATTTGACTTAAATATTAGCTATTGCTATTGTTATCATTAACAAGCATTTGATACACTCCAGGCATGGGTGAGCACTTTAAATATATTAATGCATTTAATCTTTTACAGTAACCTAAGAAGTTTAGCTGCATATCACTGCAAAATATAGATTTCCTTGTTAATTCGGTTATAGTTCTGTTTCCTCAATTACAGTGAATATTTTCTAGTAATTTTCTTAGTTCAAAAAAATATGTCTGATTATGTAGTACTTGCAGTGAATTGAACTCTGCTGCTGTGGGTTTGGGGGCAAGGGTTTGTATAGTTTAATCCTTTATAAAAAGTGGTAGCCTTGAGAATAATAACTATTCCCATCATCCTAAAGTAGGGCTTTCTTTTATAGTAGGGAAAATTTTGCACAAAGCAAGAAATAAGTAACATAAATTATATTTCCTCCAGAAAATTCAGATTTTAGAGACTAAAACCTGTGGCAAAAGTTTTCAGCATCAGTAATGCCCCAGTATGTTTAATCATCATAAATTTTCCTAGGAAAGTTTACTCTCTATCTTTAATCATATTGCAAGCAGTCTTATAGCCCTCCATCTGAAAAAAAACAGTAGTCACAAGCAAGGAACTAGTGTTTTAATCTTTTATAATTTTTTTAAGGTTGTTTTTGTTTTTTGGGTTTTTTTTTTGAGAGAGAGAGAGAGAGAGAATGAGAGCGCATGCACACAAACAGGGGAGGGGGCAGAGAGAGAGGAAGGAGAGAATCCCAAGCAGGCTTTGTACCCACCAGCAAGGAGCACAACACAGGGGCTCGAACCCACGAACTGTCAGATCGTGACTTGAGCTGAAATCAAGAGTCGGACGTTTAACTGACTGAGCTACTCAGGTGCTCCTTAATCTTTCATACTTTTAAAAAATATTTCTATTTCTCTCCTTCTAGTACACATAGATAGTCTTCTCCTTTATCACTTACCAAATGTACAAAATAAATTGCCCATTCCCTGTCATAGACAATCGCAGGTCTGGAAACTTAACATCACATGGCTCTTAGCCCTTCTAAGTCAGATTGCATCTTGAAATAGCCATTGATAAAACAAGGCTAGAGAGAGTCCCACCAATGCCAGGAGAATAGAGAACCAAGTCTTTCTGGCTTCTGATGACCCACTTTGGTTTCCAATTAAAATTTTAGGGTGTATGACTATTAAATAACAGTTGTATGGGCCTGATTCTACTGGTTTAAGGAATTATTGGAAGGACCTTCTTTTTCTCAGGATTTGGGACCTGATCATCTAACAGCCCCAAATCAGTATAGCTCCTCTTTGCTTGGTGTTCATTATGCATACATTCTAAAATTAAAAAACTGTTTCTAATGTGATGTACCCTGTATGTTATCATTTTCTAATGTAATGAAATGTATAAGATTTGGTTAGGTAGAGCCTTGATTACCTTAGTGTATCTGTAGAGTGCTTTATCTAATATTTATTGGGTTTGAAATTGCATAGTTAAATGAATGTGATCATTTTTTATTGAAAAAAAAATTTAATGTTTATATTTTGAGAGAAAGAGACAGAGCAGAAGTGGGGGAGGGGCAGAGAGGGAAGGAGACACAGAATCTGAAGCAGGCTCCAGGCTCTGAGCTGTCAGCACAGAGCCTGACACGGGGCTTGAACCCATGGGCCATGAGATCATGACCTGACCTGAAGTCGGACACTTAACCGACTAAGCCACCCAGGCGCCCTAAATGAATGTGATAATTTTTAATGTCAAATTTATGTTTCTCAGTTTTTTAAAATGTCTTCTAGAACTTTTAGTTTATTGAGTTCTCATAATGTTTTTAAGCCTCTTAAAAAGATAACTCACTAATGACTTCTGATAAAATGTCTTCATGATTAAAATAAATTTCCAGTAACATTCATGAATTCAAATATGAGCCCTGAGGCTTATCACATGACTGGGAGTATGCGCATACCATTGGACACTAAATGTTTAACCTAAAGTCATAGTATAGTTAAGAATTACCCCTCCCAGGCTTTTTATTTGGATCTCAACTGTAATCTCACTATTGAACACTAAGAAAGTATGTACCTCTGAAGGGAGCGCAGACCTCAGAAGGGCTGAAAAGTGTTAATGCTACACAATCTCTCACATTCATCTTAAAAATAATTCTCAGGGCGCCTTTGTAGCTCGGTTGGTTAGTGTCTGACTCTTGATTTCCACTAAGTTCATGATCTCATGATCTTGAGAGATCGAGCCCTGTGTCAGGCTCTACGCTGATGTCTGTGGAGCCTTCTTGGGATTCTCTCTCTCCCTGCCCCTCTCCCACTCACATGTATACACACACTCTCTCGCTCAAAAAAATCTGTTTTAAATAATAATTCTTATATGTTGTCACATAATGTCTATAAATGGAAAGATTATATATTGAATTGAAAAACCTCTGAGAGTGTGAAACTTATGAAGAAAAAAATCATGTAGTTTGAGGGTTTTTTTTTCCCTAACTCCTAAGCTTGCATTCAGTTCTTTGACTACGTGTGGTATGTTCTTCAGTCAGACTATAGCTATCATAAAGTCTCTCTTTATTCTGTGGTATTCTGGACTGAAGTGACACATCAGATACAGAGGATTAATAAAGTTCGATCAACTACAGTTTCTTCAGAATTGGTATTTATCCTATAGTAAATCAGTCAAAGCAGATGAAATGATAAATCTGACAATAAATTGAGTTTGTCAAAGTTGTTTAGTGCTGACTTCAGGTAAGTGTCTTGACCTTGCTCTCTGTGTTCCCACCTATAAAATCGAAAGCATGGTCTAGAGGATCCCTACGGCCCCTTCCTGCTCAAACATTCCATGATAATAACAGATGATACATTATTTTTTAATTACAAATGGTTCAGAAAGGCGCATAAAGCTAAAACATCTTCAGTTAGTACCTCGCCCTGCTCGGACGTTGGTGTGCTTGCGTGTTTCAGCTCTCTCTTATTTCTTCATACGCTGACACATAATGGACATCGATAGACCTTTTGGGAGAGGGTGAGTAAAGCTTTATTTTAAACTTCTGTTTTAAAAGAGACTTCTGTCTCTTCATCACTTCCTTAATTTGATGATGTGGAGCCTGGTACATCTTTTGTCCTTTCCTCTTCCCTCCTGTTTGTTCTTTGTCTGTGGTACAACACAGATTCTCTGGCTGCAATTTCCTCTGTTCCCTCTGAAGCACAAATTTCAGACCCATTTGCACCAGAGCCTGCCCCTCCTACCACAACCGCTGAAATTGCAACTGCTTCAGCCTCTGCCTCAACTACTACAACTGTCACCGCTGTCACTGCTGATGTGGACCTCTTTGGAGGTTAGTCAGTCACATCACTGTTTTGTCCTTTTCCTTCCAGGTTTGGGAGTTGCCTTAGAGTTGAGGTGCTTAAAAGTGTTCACGTGATAGGACAACATGTCAGAGTGTTTACTTTTTAAATGTTTCTTCATATATATTTATCAGCACTAACTTTATCAATTTCATCTTCACTTAATTTTAGTAGCTTTAGAGCAAAGATTGCAATGCTTTAGGCCAGTGTGATGTTTCCAGTTTTTAAACGTAGGGATTTAAATTGCTGTTAGAACCCTTGTCCCATGTATGTCCCTGCCCTGCAGCATCTATGTGAGAGTGGTGCCAGTCCTATCTATCACATTTAGGTTTGGCTTCTTGACCACCTTCAAACTAGCTGAACGAATCATATTTGCAGAATATGGAAGGGGAAGTTCTGGCTTAAGTTATTTTTTAAGATTTGGAAAAAAAGTCATCCAAGAGTAGTTCAGATTTGGAGGTCTCTGAAGAAAGTTTGGGGATACGCCCATTTTGTAACTGTAAGCTTGTTCTGCACAAGCAAAGAGTTGGATCATCTTTGGCCTTGGAACTTTGAGAGATCATTTGATACAACGCTCACATGCTGATTGAAAACAGGTTTAGGTTAGACTTTGAAATGATCATCTGAAAATACACTTTATGTTCAAATGTAAATTCTGACAGAGTTGACTCACAGCTGTGAGCTTGTGTCAGGTATCCTAGACTCTGGCGGTATAATATGCCTGGACCTTATGAACTGACCAAAGCTAGTGTGTTTACATATTCCCATCTGAGAGGTGCTAATGTCCACACCTGGAGAAGTGCTCATATCAAATACATGCATCGAATAGTGTTATATTCATCATAGTTTTGTGTTTCTTTGTTACCGTATAACATCTTTCCCGGGGCATTTTGAGAATATGGTAAAGAAATTGGAGGAAGCAAGTGATGGGGACAGCGGGACAGATTTGGCAGGCTCTCGTGGAGTTAATACATTCCCCTGGGAACATACACTTACTGGCCCGTCCCACTGTGCCACCCGCCATGCCCCAGTCTCTGAGGCTTGCCAGCACTGTCTCGGACAGGAGTGCTCCGGTGGACACAGCACCATTGCCATAGTTTCACACAAGGAAGTTGCCGCTGCTTGCAGCGCGGCCATTCCTGTTGCAGGAGAAACCTTTTTTTAAAGTGGGGGAAGGGGGTTTGCAGGCTCTTGCATATTTTATTGAAAGTAGGCAACCACTAGTGAAAGTTAGTTTTTCAGTTATGCCTCTATAACTTTGAGACCAAAAATTAAATTTTCAGCTTAAATTTGTAAAATGAACTTCTTCACACACCTCCTTCCCCCCTCCCCATTATTAGTATTGGGTACGGGTGGTTTCTTGTACGCTTATCTTTTCAGAAACACTTCAAGGAACATATGAACAGGACAGATAACTATTTTGTGCTTAAATATTTCTACACCTTTAGCTGTTTAGATTTTTATTTTTCAGTCCAATTGTAAGGAACTTAAGTGCCTTTAAGAAAACAGTCAACTCCATCTTGCTTCCTCCGTAGCTCTCTAGAATAGTAAAGCCTGATATAGTTCCTTGAAATAGTCTTTGTGCCATTATGCTGTTTGTGTTGATCATTTATGGCTGATTTTTCTACATTCGTCAATCAGAAAAACCTGTATATTTGTAAATATTTTCATGGTTCTTTCTATCCTGAAATACCACTTTAAAAGACTAATACTGCAGAAAGTCATGTAACTTAATCCCAAAGAATGGGGCTGTCCGTGTGATTTTCCCAATATCCTTTCTAGTCATCTGGCTGTAGGTAAAGTGAGTACATCTGTAAATCTCATCATAATTATTTTTACTGATCTGGATAGCTCCATAAACTATCTCCTGACCTCTTAGCTGTAAAATCTCTATCTTTATGGCCAGGAGTCTACAGGTGTCACGGTTGCACAGTTTTCAGTGATATTCCCTAATTTCTTTCATGTTCTTTATTTTTTTTTTTTATTTTTTTATTTAAAAAAAATTTTTTTTTTCAACGTTTATTTATTTTTGGGACAGAGAGAGACAGAGCATGAACGGGGGAGGGGCAGAAAGAGAGGGAGACACAGAATCGGAAACAGGCTCCAGGCTCTGAGCCATCAGCCCAGAGCCTGACACGGGGCTCGAACTCACGGACCACGAGATCGTGACCTGGCTGCAGTCGGACGCTTAACTGACTGTGCCACCCAGGCGCCCCACATGTTCTTTATTGATTTATAACGAATCATCTAGAGATGGGCCATGTTGTGTGGCCATTTTTTTTCTTATTTTGTGTCACTAAAATGGGCAAGTGGTAGAACTCTTAAATACAATAAGGGCACCAGATATTTTGTTTACGTGATTTAAAACATGCACTTTTGAGGTTTTATCTAGCTCATACAGCAGTATTAAGTAGATGTCTTTTTTTTTTTTATTTTTTAATGTTTATTTATTTTGGCGAGAGACAGAGACAGAATGTTAGTGGGTTAGAGGCAGGGAGAGAGGGAGACATAGAATCTGAAGCAGGCTCCAGGCTCCGAGCTTGTCAGCACAGAGTCTGACATGGGGCTTGAACACACGAACCGGGAGATCACGGCCCGAGACAGAGTCGGGCACTCAACCAACTGAGCCACCCAGGCGCCCCAGTATTAAGTAGATGTCTTTAGAAATAAGTTAAAGAGATTTATTTCTGGGAAGTAGTTAATTGTTTAATTTCATGAATATTAAATATTAAAACATTGATATTTCTATGCACTCATAATAAATTTGAAAAACGGAAAATGTCTGATATTTTTAAATATTCACATTGATACCCCACATTTTAGTTATTTCAATGTAAGTCATTAAAAACATTTTCAGAAAATTATATTTACTAAACACTTTATTTTTTTTTTAATTTTTTAACGTTTATTCATCTTTGAGAGACAGAAACAGAGTGTGAGTGGGGCAGGGGCAGAGAGAGAGGGAGACACAGAATCTGAAACAGGCTCCAGGCTCTGAGCTGTCAACACAGAGCCTCACGCAGGGCTCGAACTCACTGTGAGATCATGACCTGAACTGAAGTCAGACGCTTAACCAACTGAGCCACCAAGCGCCCCACACTTTATTTTTTAAAGTGAACTTTTAAGGGGGAAAAATGCTTTCTGTGATCATACAGAACAAGACTACAAGATAGTATTGTACTTATAAAAATTAGTAAAATTTACAGATGTTGATAAAAATAAAAGACAGACTTCTCTAAAATATTCTATTTTTCACTTATGGATACCTTGCCAACAGCAGCATATTGTTTGTGACAATACAGGGTTTTTTTTTTCCTGAGCACTCAAATGCTAATTGATACTAATTCCTCTACACATTCACCAGGGTACACTTTCAGTCACCTGTGTCAGTTTGGGAGCAAGCTTTCAGGAGCATGTAGTCTGTGAGCATGAAACCAAATGGCTGGAAAACCAGAGAACTTCCCTCACAAGCCTGCTGTCATTTGTGCAAGTTGGTTAACAAACTAAGTACTAAGTACTTAAATATAAGCACTTGAATCTAGATTTTGTGTAAGAGTCATAACCTGGGACCTTTGGGGAAGACTGGAATGGTGACTTTCAGGTTGTTGACAGTGATTAAAACCCCTGTCCAAGTAAGCGATTTAAAGATGGCTCATGGGACTGGAGAAGATGGGGAGAATTCAAGCTGGGAAAATGATAGCTATACGAAATTTTTAGAAAGGTAGTCACATGATAAAAAGTTTGAGAGAAAATTCTTCCTAGATTGCTAGAGGGGAAAAAAAAGACTGGTCCGTAGCAGTGGCTGGGAGACTGTTTTGCTGGGGAAGGCCTGGACTGGGTCCATAATTATAGAACAGCAGGAACATGCATTTCCAGGAAATTGCACGGGTTGAAAATAGCCAGTATGTAAAAATGAACTGCAAATGGGTAACAAGGGAAAGAGAACTTGATTAGAAAGAGCTTGAGTTTTCAAAACTGGAAGGTTAATACTGCCTTTGATAATGAAAGAAAACTAGGTAGTAAAACAAGTTTAATTTGTTTACAACAACAACAAAAAATTCTATTACCTCTCACAGCTTGAGGGCCAACTGAGCTCTGCTGGACAGTTCTCATTCATGGTCTCCTTCCTGGCTACAGTCGGGCTGGGGCTGGTGTTACTCAGGCAGTGGCTGGGGCTCCAGTCTTACTCGTGCACATCTCTGTCTTCTGGCCTGGGAAGACAACCAACGGAACCTGGGTCAGCTGGGCTCCTATCTTTAAGAGAACCTCTGATGAGAATAGACGAGTTTATAATCTTTAATTTTCAGTAACAGGAGAAGCATTTAAAGGAGATACACATCTTGCTGGCAGGGAGAAAAAAACTCTTTTGAGGACATGGTTACAAATGTGTGTTTCACCTGCTTACACGTAAGTGGTAACTGCAGAGGGAAGCCCGTAGATATTTATTTGACCCCCGTCCCCAACACTGACATAACTGGTGTTTATTCCATCGGACAAACACGAAATAGTAGAATGTGGCATGGTTCATAACAGTGCGGCATAGTGGTTAACACAAAGCCTCTGTCATTTTATAGCCAGATGCTGACTCTACCATTTGCCTGCTGTGTGACCTTGGTCAAGTCACTCAGACTTTCCAAGCTTCCATTCTCTTATCTACAAAGATAATAGAATCTACATCATGAGATAGTTATAGGAATTAAATTTAATAATGTCATAAAACATTTACACAGTGACTGGCACATGAACACTCACTCGGGACAGCTATCACTGTTTCTACTAGTTCTAGTATTATTAGCCTCACTTCTATTTATAGAAATAAAAAGAAAAACTGACCTGACCCATGGCAAAATACTCTCAGCCCTGCCTACTTCCTCCTATACTTTCTTGTGTTCTGCCCCAGCTCTTCAGGTTTTCATATTGCTCTAAGCGCTCTCTATCACAGCACCCTGAGCATGGCTTCTGGGGAAGCAAGACTGGCCTATCCACACTCCAGTATTATTTGGCCTCTCCCCTGACTGACCTCTGCTCAGAAAACATATTCCCTTGTGTAGCTGAGGGAAGTAAGCAAACCAAATAAACCTGTAAGATATGAGTAACTGATTGTCTCATTATGTCTTCTAAGGATATTTGTGTTTTTATAACTTTTAACCCAAGTGTCTAATTTCATGTTTGTTGTTCCACTTAATGCTGGGCCACAAGAAAGGAAAACAGGAAAGTCTGTTTCATACTCAGATCAGTTTGGAACATGCTCCGTTAAACTCAGAATCAAGTGCCTTGACTATGTAAATCTCCAAGAAAGGGAAGATGCTGTGTAGTAGTTCACAAGCATATCTGACAATTTCTTTTTAATGGCCAGAGGAACAGTGTTCTTGGGGACACTTGTAGATATTGTGGAAGGCAGTATTTTAGGATGAGAAGTCTAGCAGGTAAGTGGCCGATTCTAGATGGGTGTTGGTCCCCACTTTCAAGGAGTTTCTTCTAAGCAAATCATATTTATGTTGGCTCATTCTGTTGTACTTTCAAATTATAGAATTTCTTTGAAAACTCTGGGTTTTTTTGTTTGTTTTTTACCAAACTAACATGGTTTACTGGCAGAAATACATTGGGTGCCATTTGTACACATCAGCCATTTATATATTTATAAATTGGGGCTACCTGTTTGTTAATGAATTTTCTGCTCTAAATAGTAATATGCTTGTAGTCTTAAATGAAACCGTGTTTTTAGTATGTTGAAACTAGATCGTTTTCCAAATAATGAGAGCAATACAATATTTGAAAACAGCAATAAACTTAAGTTGAAATAAAGGCAATATGGTGTCATCCCCTAGTTTTGTTTTCTATTTCCTTAAATCCTTGCTTGTATCTGAAAATGCTTTTCAAGGATAACAAAGACTTAACTTTTATGAGTACTTAGTAAACTTTTCATGTTAACAGTGTAATTTTTCCTGTACTAGACCATAAAATATTTTTTTTAACTAGAATTATTTGTTTACATTTCCATCATATGTTTAATTTTATGGGCATTAAGGAAAACATCTATGTTTGGTAGAAACCACCGGTCGGAGACATCTTAGTAACATAGTGAATAAGTATTACCTAGACATGAAAGATTAACAAGATCCTAAGTTACATAATAAAGTTATTTTTGTGTTTTAATTTTCACATCCATTAATTTCTAATGATACATAAAACATGCTTCTCAGAGCCCTTATACAATGAGAATCCTGTGGCCTGATGGATCCTAATAGGCCTCAGCAGTATGAACACTGTATCCTTTGCATGTGACTAACATGAAGGAGTGCAAAGAATCATTGTTTTGTGACTGCCAGCAGCGCATGGGCCGTAAAAATGCATTTTAAGAAATTCATGTTGTATAAGGGAGCCTTTTTCGCAATTTAACTTGGTTCTTTTACTATATTTTCTTCTCTTTTTATTCCTTTTAATTTCTGTTGTTTTAAAAACTGCACCCAAGATGCCTTTGCAGCTTCTCCTGGGGAGGCCCCTGCAGCATCCGAAGGGGCCGCCGCACCAGCTACCCCAACCCCGGTAGCGGCAGCGCTCGATGCATGTTCAGGAAATGGTGGGTTGAAAGTCATGAGCAAGTCTGTTGTTTCTCTCTCCTCATGTGAAACTCCCATAGTTAGATGTGGCCATGTTTTTCTAACTTTAATCTCTTCCGAGTAGCAAGTATCATTCACAACGGAATAGATAGTGCTGGCACTTAAAACATTAAGACGATCAAGTGCATACTTAATCAAAATTGACAATTTCTCAAGATTGACAATTTTTGTCAGTGCAAGTATGCTCTCTTAATGTTTTTGTCCTCCAACGCTATACTGTACTCCTTTCTAACACTGAGTTCTAACATATAGGCATGTTTTAATGAGTTTTCAAAGCTACCAAATTGCCCAGTTTGAGAGTTTGAAGAAAAATGTCTGATCCTAGACTGGAGGCTAATCTTAACAGTACTTTGAAGTGTTCCGGTTTCTTAACTGTGTTACCCACTAAGTTTTTTTTTTTCTTTAGAGAAACGTCCAAACCACTGACCCTTGCTAATAGGCTAGTAGTGCCAGTAATGCAATCCACGCAGCCCAGTGCCTAGCTAGTGTGTGAATATCTGTGTCAGGTGTCTCTCACCCTAGTTGTGATGCCTCTCTCTTGTCTCTCTCCTTACCGATGCTGTATGTGTCTCCACTTTCCTTTCCAAAAGACCCCTTTGCCCCGTCCGAAGGTAGCGCAGAGGCTGCGCCCGAGCTGGACCTCTTTGCAATGAAGCCACCTGAGACCAGTGTTCCTGTAGTTACCCCTACAGCTAGCACAGCCCCTCCGGTTCCCGCCACTGCTCCTTCTCCTGCTCCCGCTGTCGCAGCTGCCGCTGCCGCCACTACCGCCTCCGCCACCGCCGCCGCCTCCGCCGCCACCACCTCCGCCGCCACCACCGCCGCTCCTCCTGCTCTAGATATCTTTGGTGGTAATTCTTTGTTGTTGTTGAACTCTCTTCACCTGGTGGATTGAATTCTGATAACTTGAGATACCCTGCACACACAACCGTTACTGCATGACTACCGTGTAAACTACATGCTTTTCTAGAAACCGTTTGCTGCTTATTTCGGAATTGTCCCACGTGCGCACTCAGAACCGGAAATGTGATGCTGTGTCGGACTGCTTTGTCGAGTTGAGTAAAGACATGTGTGTTCTTGGTCTTAGATTTGTTTGAGTCTCCTCCTGAAGTCGCTGCAGCGCCTAAGCCAGATGCTGCTCCTAGCATAGACCTGTTTGGTACAGGTAAACATCTAAAGCAACCCCCCCTCCCTTTTTTTTTTTTTATATATTAGTTCTCCCAGATGTTTTCTTGATTGAACTCTCTGTGCTCACCTGTGATAATGCATTTGTTAGATATTTAACTTTGATTTCAGCTTTCTACTTACCTCTGCTTGGTTTTGGTTTGTTTCACTTTTGGAAGATGCTTTCTCCTCTCCACCACAAGGGGCCTCTCCTGTGCCTGAGAGTTCTCTCACTGCTGACCTCTTATCCGGTGAGTGCTTTTGCCAAGGCCAAGCCTTCTGAGATGTCTGCTGGGGGTTATGTGTGTGCAGAGGCGGATACGAAAACACGCAGGTTCGTCTTGAGTTCTTTTAAACTCAGAATTCGCCTGAAAGAAATAAATCTCATTTTGGCTCATCACCAACTGATGAGGTTACTGATTTCAAATCTAATGCTGGTGAAAAGACACAGCTTTTATCCCCCCTCCCCCATGTTAAAATCTCTGAGTTTCAGGAGTCAAATGTTATTTTCTTCTGGAAAGTATGTATTTTTACATCCATTTGCTTCTTAACTATTAAAATGGTCTGCAGTCTTACTGCCTGCTGTTAAACATGAAATCCTGAGAAGCCATCTGTCAAGGCTCGTGGTTTTATTTTCCCCTGGGTGACATGCCCTTTTCCCTGTTGTGTGCTTCACCGCAGTGGATGCATTTGCAGCACCGTCTCCTGCAACCACTGCCTCTCCAGCAAAGGTGGACTCTTCGGGCGTGATAGACCTTTTTGGGGGTGCGTATCTCTCCTCCTTCAACACGTGAAGAGTCTTTCCCCCCCCAGAATAGTTTTTAGATCTTCTGCTTCATTATATCCCATCAATTTTTTCTTTTGACTACGTGAAGTTATTTCCATCTCTCAGCTGTGTAAGCTTACGTTTTTAAGACCTTTTCCATTTCTTTGCCATCGTCATCTTCATTCTCATCAGCTCACCATTATTTCCAATGCATGGCCTAATGAAACCGATCGTTTCTTCATTTGAAGTCTTTGTGTTTTTAACTTTTTGTTCCTCCTAATGTAGAATCAGCTGGTTGGAATTTCCTTCTACTGTTCTTCATTGGTGATCCTGATCTATTGGCTAAATCAACATTTCTAAGTTCTTAAAAAAAAAAAAAAAAAGCAATGTAAATATTAACTAGATAATTTGGAACTGAAAACAAATAAACCAGTCCAAACTGAAAACATAAGCTGGAGAGCCATACATTATTCTGTAGGGTTTATTTATGTTGAGCTTAATGTTTTAAATCCTGCCAGAGAACCAGAAGATGTTTCACTGATTTAAATGTATTCTTCCGTTACTTTGTGTATTATCTGAAGGCAGGGAGATGCACTGAATTAACTCTTAAGCTACTCAGTTGGATGATGGATTTAAAATCTTATTTTAGCATTAAATTTCAGAGAAAAGTACAGATTTGAAGTGATTTCTTCATGAATGTCCACAAATGTGTGTGCCACAGGCTAAAATGCCATTTTTAGTAAGTTAAGCCACA